GTATCGTTTTTTTTTTTTTTGTGAGCGACATTTCGAAATCTTTTTTCTTCGAATCAACTGAGAATTTGAGCAATTTCCTATTCCATTAAAGCACATTGCTGATAAACTCCACTCCCGATGGATCAAATGCTTTCATGTGTTTTTAAGTGATTCATAAAATATGTATAACATGTATATACTATATCGCACGATATCATTTATTGTGATATGTTTTTAAGTAAGTATGAAATCATCTTCCGCTCGGATTGGACGCTTTCAAGAACCATATAAATCGTGTGTATGATTCACCATTTTACGGAAATGGTCTAATCTATTAAATGTTTGTTTTAATCGTTAAATTTATGCATAACTCAAACTGAGTACAATCAAGCGATTATCGCACGTTTGATGGAGAGTAGGAAAAAAAAATACGCTCACTGTTTTTTTTTTTTAATGAAACTATTGCGCATAATGACGATTATCGTTAATACTATCGTGGAAAATGAGATGTCGATTAATTTTCTAATTAAATATGGTTCGGTTACGAAACCGACCAAAAAATGCTGAGGAGCTAAAGATGCAATTTACGATTTAGTTCTGTTGATACGATTGCACCATATGTGTTTACGTATATACGGTGTGCACGTTGGTTTTTATCATGTGCGCGGACACAACATATCGCGTTAACGCCAACTAAATTGATCTCTCTCTCTCTGTTTGTGGAAGAAGACATTCAGGTAATTAATGATCGATCGAAAAACATGAGAACCAAGTTAATAAGTGAACAAAACGAGAGAAGAAGAAAAAAAGCTACACACACCACAGCCCAGAGATAATTAAAGCGAAAATAAATTATCGCGCCACATATGATTGGCTCGCTGAGCTTCAAAACATTGTAATATTAAAATGCATGTCGATAAACATGTGGTGATACCATCAACAACTGAATTAACACGCATACAATAACGCCTATCGCCCGAGCAATTGGATTCGAAACGAAAATATTCATCTTTCTTTTATTACATCGTTTCTATTCATAAGCTGATTCCAAATTAATTTCAAGTTGTTTGTTTGAATATTTCGGCAGGCAAATGGGCTCTGAATTTGTTGATAAAGAGTAGAAGAAAAAGAAGAAGAAGGAGAAGAAAATGAGTGTATGGGATAAGTGATTGCTGACGCTGAGAGAAGAGGAAGAAAAAAAAAACAGCTAACATGCGCTAGAAATATCACAATTTTTCCAAATGTTAGAAACATTTGTATCAAGATATTCGATAGTGAAATGTATTCAAAACGGCATTGATGAAGAAAGAAAAACAAACACATTTTTGATGCTCTATGAAATGAAAAGAAATGAACAAAAATGATGTTTTTTTCTTCTTCTTCTTCTTCTTCTTCTTCTTCTTCATATGATATGAATAAGGCCCGCAGTCCAGATTGGTTCGAGAATAATACGCTTCACTGAATGGAGTGAACCGATGTCTCACCGCGGAATCACACTGACATTGAGGAATCAATTGATTGAGATCATTATTAGCTTTTAAAATAAACCATCAAATTGATTTGAATAAATATTAGTCAGATTCATGTTCCGACTGATCATCAACCTAAGAAATTAATAATTAGATACACCTCGTCTCGAAACATTGTGAGCTGTTGTTGTTGTTGTTGTTGTTGTTTTTATCCTCTCTTTCATTTTTAAATTATCTTTTCATCATCAGCATAATATCAGTTGAGATGAATCCACTCATCTATGCGCGTATTATGGGGACTTCGGCTAATTGGTAAATTTCATCGCATACGTTTTGTTGTTTCAAGCAGCCATTTACACAAACTGTGTGCTCGGCTATCATTTGATTATTTCACACGCTAAGCAACATAAATAGAGCGGAACAAGGCCGAAACGATGTGATGCGATGATGAGCGCAAATGTTACGCATGAGTCAAATTGAATGGAATGGAATGAAAAGGAGGTGGCTTTGCGCTGAGATTTCCGCGTATTTGCTTCTTATTTTACCTCTTACATGCACATACGTTTTTTTATTCATATGCAACAAACAACCATTCCTTTAGATTCATCTTTAATTGTACCATTTCTTTTGTTTAAATATTTGCGAAAGACAACAAAAGGAAGAAACTTCCCAGGAAAATCTGATACAGTTTATTACAAATTTCTTGCACAATATGTGTCTGAAAATCAGCTCAATTTTTGTCACGTATTTTACTATTTTCGAAGAAAATCCCAAAACAATCACACGCTTAAATGTCTTATTAAAATGCCCGAGTGGCTGGAGCGCAACTCATCAGGGATCGTTACGCAGAAAAAACGACAAAAACTCGTTTTTTTTTTCTCGACAAAAATTTACACTGAAATGCCAGTCAATTTTCAAACCAGCAGTGACAACTGATTATCACTACCGAACTATAATCCACACAAAAACCAGTATCGATATATAGTTCTCCGTATCGGAGTCCCCTCTGTTTTCGGCCAATAAATCTAATCAAACATCAAATGTTATCATTTCGGTTTAGTCAAATTGAAAAATCCAAAATCGATTAAAATATATCTCTATTGCACCCGTGGTACGAACGGATGGCTGGAATCTGAGACCATTTTTTATGCTTTATATTTTATATCAGTTGACCATTCGTGTGTTGTTTTTTTTATTTTTTCTTCGGTACTCTGCTAATGACTTAATCATCTTATTGGTATTTTGTTGAATTCATTAGAGAAATGTTTTGTGTTGCGCAGTCATTTTAGTTGGTTTAATGCTCTTTTTATAAGCAGGATATGAATTTATTATTGATAAAGATGTTTGAATCATCACAGCAAGATACTCGCCTTCTGGCATTTAATTGCAATAAAGTCTGTTTTGTTTTCGTTTTGTTAATGTTTGTGTTTTTTCCTTCTTCTTCTTCTTCTTCTTTGATTCCGTTTCGTATGTCTGCCGTCTGGAAATCTCCTCTACGTCATTTATTTCCCTCTTTTGGCTCCAGTTCCCTTTATTAATTTATCATATAATCATTTCTCTGATTTTCGTTGCCTTATCGACTGGTCGAATTAACGCTTTTTCTTCGCTTAATGTAAAAATTCAGATTTAGCCCATGCTATTTGCTTCATCTCGACAATTCTCCTTTTTAGAACAAACATTTTGCATATGAATTTCGAGTGGTGAATTCGTCAATCTCGTCCTGTATTTTAATTTACGGATAAAACAAATTAACTAAATGACTTTTATGAGGTTATTTACCGATTCATACTGTAGCGTTACAGCCATGAATGGACTTTAAACAATAATGATATTTGAATGTCGTGCGTCATGAAAATCTGTGATAATGAGTTCAAAAAATCCTTTCCGGTCAAGTTACGTACATTGGTTTTGCTTTCCGGTATTTAAATATGAAATGACATCAATTTAGTTATCAAGTCATCAGTTTACGGACGTACAATTTTTACTTTTCTGATTTGCCTGTATACGAATTCCTTTCATATCGCTGCCAAGCCTTGAGTGCGCAAAATGAAACGATTTAAGTAGAATATCAAATCAAAATTTTCTGCCGAGAAAATTGTACAAACTCGAGAGTTTGAGAGCCCCATTTGAAACTTTTTTTTTCTTCTAACTTACCAGACAATCGTCTCGCAACGATTTTTTGATTGTTTTACATTTTATTACAAATGTTGTATCTATTGGCAATAGGTTTGGTCACCTTTCAGTAAGTTCATCCGAAAAAAGGTGACCTTGTGCAAAACAAAGCACATCAAATTTATTCACTTCCATGACCAACCGGCCGACTGTGTATTCCAATTAACTTTATATAGCTCTCAACAGGACCTTTATACGGGATGAAGAAACTGTTCAAAAGACAAAAAAAAACAAACATGGATATTCTGAGATTTTCTGTGTGCCATTTATTGATATTTTTCTTTGTTTGGTTGTTGGATTTTTTTTCCTTCCATTGTATTTCTTCTGCTCATACATATAACAGTCCATTTTTTTTTTTTTCAATTTAAGTTTGCTTGGTTTTTGTTGGTAGATGCTTTTAAACAGTTAATATGTTTACAAAATTTTATTCAATAAAGTTTTTAAACTACTAAATTGTACAACTAAGATCAATTTCTCAAGTAAAATGTGTGTGTGTGTGTGTGTGTGTGTATATGTGTCATGGTTTGAAAACACCTCTGTGTGTCGAAATCAGAGCAGGAGAAAAGGAGCATATTATTTTCTTGTTTTTCATTTTTTGTTTCATTTTTCTTTAAATTACAATCATTCAACTTACTACGATAATTTTTAGTTCTTATTAACTTTTCTTGTTTTACTTGTTTATCAATAGAATATAAATATATTTCAGAAAACACATAAATGAGACAAACTAATTCTATGCATATTAGTTTTGCTTATAAACAAATATCGTTCCAGTTGTGTTGCTGTTTCGCAAATTTTTCTCTTCATCTTTCTTTTACTTTTTTCATATTGGTTATATCTAAAATCAAATATCTATTTGATCAAAATATGATTTTGTTTGTTGTCTTACGAAAGGTATCATTCATTGAATATACTATAGCTAGCGTTTAAAAATATTAAGCCTTTGCAAATTCGACAAAGTTTTTTTTTTGAGCTCCCACAATGAAAACTGATGTTGTCATCGCAAACAAAGTGTTAATACCTTTGTTTTTCTATTATTATTTTTTTTGGGGCGAATTGTTGTTAGGAGGAGGGAAGGGGATATGATACTATTTACACGGGATGTATCATATATACGATAAATGTAATCTACGAACGCGGTTACTAAAAAGAGAGTATATTTCGTAGAATATTTTGTGAAAATACTGTTGTGTTGTTCGAAAAAGAGTCCGGTTGAAATCCGCGCATATGTACGTTCATTCAAAATAAGGGAAAGAAGAAAGCAACGCAGCCGCTTTTTATGTCTTTTTTGCAATGTGTTGAAGCGATGATTCAAAAGTAATTAATTCGTATTCAACGATTTTTCCCATCGATCATCTCTACGATTGTTTTTCAGTTTCGTTTATTTTTTTTATTTTCGAGTGAAAGTTATAAATTCAATTATATCCTAAGATATATTTTGGAACAAAACAGAAAATAATCACATAATGATGTATAAATTGTTGAATTTTGGAATTGAATCGAATTTGGCTGATGTAAAACATATTAGTTTCATTGCTTTAGTTTGCTATTGACCTTTTTTACCTTCCAAAGAAGTGCGTACAGCGACATTTTGTTGAAAAATCAAAATATACAACTTTTTCGTATAGTACTTCGTTTTTTTCTTTCTTCTTCTCAATATTATTTAGTTATTTTCTTCTGTTTGCTTATTAAATCACTGGGAAAATGTTTTCCATACTCATATAGTTAATATTTGGCACAGTTATTCATATAACCAAATAAAATGCACATACCATTGTACACTCTAGATTGATGAAAACTTAATTTGGCGGGCAAATTCAATACAAATTACACACTGATCCGCCACACTGATCCATCATACTGAATTTTGCACACCGAACAACAGCAAAAAAAAATCGTGTTGGTTGCTCTCTTTTTTTTCTCTTCTACTTCATCTTCTCACTCCATTTTGCTGGTTGTTACTTCTTCATACTTTTTTTTTTTTTTGAAATTCCATTGTTTTGATATGCATTTCCAAGTGCATGCGGCGAATCACTCACAAAATAAAATTATTCTCGTTTTTCAATCATGTAGTGTGGAACCGTTAATGTTGAACGCCATGCTCATCTTCACTGGAACAATCATCCATCTCCATGTCGATCATTTCCTCTTCATCGTCGTAGCTTCCTTCGAGATTATTTGAATGATTGCTACCTTCGCCCTTTGTGTCGTCTTCTTGTTGCATGCGCTTGTGCTTGGTGCGCCGATTTTGGAACCATACCTTAACCTTTTCGCCGAAAAAAAAAAAAAACAAACACAAAGAAAAAGAGAATGGGAAAAATTAAAAATCAAAATTGATGAAAATGCCCGATCATCATCGCACGATAATAAGCAAACAAAAATGACGAAACAATTAATTTATTGTAAACATTTCTGACAAGCAATACACAAAAATGATTTGCAATGGGGGCAGCCACAGTCGCAGCAGCAGCAGCAGTATTTCACGCGCTGCTAATATTCTAGTAATAACAATCATTGTTTTCATTTCGATGCTTGGCTCTTGTGCATTGTGTGTGTGTGTGTGTGTGTGTGTGTGTGCACGCTTTTTACGATGTACAAATATTGACGATATTTTGCACTAAGTTCACACGAAATCCCAAGAATCAAGGAAATAACAATACTGTACTTGGACGCCCGCCGAATATACCAAACACCGAAAGATAATTCACGGGAACGTACCACCGCTCTGTGTTTTTATATTATATACACGGAGCCGTAGTCTTCACGGAAACCCGAATATCAAATGGGGCTTGTACTTCGTAAATCGCTTTAATACTTTCATCACTCTTCGGGCCAATTATATTTTTATTTACTGAACAATTTCATGATGAGATTCGTTCTCTTCTCTCTCCCTCCATCTGCTGGGTATATATATATATATATATGGTGTGCGCGAGTACGTGGCACAAAACTACAGACAACCATCATCAACATCATCATCATGTAAAACAACCAGAAAAGAGGCCACCACCCTCAACATGCGCACGCAAATTTAAACGACTAATGTAAACGCTTTTGCTGGTCCTACTTCATTTTCCTTTATATTTGTTTCCCTTTTTTTTGTTTGTGTAATTGATACGTTCAATTATTATTCAACCGCCGTCGTGGAAATGCGAGAAAGCACTTTCCAACCCAAGGGAGAAGTTAATAATCCTCTAATATTACCCGAATCAAAGACATACCACGATTGTGTGTAGGTGCGCGGTGTGAGAGCAATAGTGAGTGAGAATGAGTGAGTAAGTACGCGAGGCGCACAAGTATTTGCCCACCACACGTTAGTAAAACGTTTTTTAACACGACGCAATAATCTGGCTTGATAGCGATGTGGAGTGAGAGAGCACAATAACATGACAAAACACGAGACTCTTCGATGTTGTGAATGTATAAATGGGGCCGTTATCAGAGATTGAGTTTCACCTTTGTGTGTGCGTGCATTCATAGAAAGTGAGTTGATTTATTCGATCAACATTGAATCCAATGCAAGCAAATCCCATTTTTGCACACTCCACTATATTGCTATTGCCCTCGTTCTCGTTCTCTCTCTCTCTCTCTCTTTCTCTTACTCAATATCAATACCATCGCATTATAAAAACGTCATGTAATAAGAATCCCAAATCGCTTATTGACTGATATTGACACGGTGTGCTTGAGCTTTGTGTGCCGTATACATCGAGGAATCGAATAAAATTTTCGTCTAAACGATGGCGAGGCAGTAGCGCTCGAAATCGCGGCAACAGCAAAAGCAACGGCGCAAATCACATTGGCACATACGTTGCACATTTTGAATTATATAGTCGATTACATTCGGTATTGTCATTTCTTCCGATGCCACCTTATTGATGGCGATAATCCTGCGTGGTGATATTTCATCGAATGAAATTCATTCCATCCCTTCTTTTATTTTCTAAACTGTGACCCTGATTTGAAGCAATCATAAACCAGGCAATGAACAAACGAAACACAATGCTTTGCTGCTGCTGCTGTGTCTCTCTCTGTCTCTATCTCTCACGCTCACTCACTCACTCACTCTCAACAGTAATAAAAAAGGGAAGTTACCAAAAAGCAGCTATTATTTAGATTTTGTGTGCAATTTCGGAGCAGTTGTGATAATATGTGAAGCATGACATTTTACAAACGCCATGAATATAATTCAAGTTTGTTATGTATTTATGTTTGGCACATTATTCATGTCGACTGTAACACGACTTCATTTGTTGTACAGTGTGATTGCATTTCGATCCGAGTGTTAGAGACAGAGAAAGATAGGGAGAGAGAGAACGCTCTCAATGTGTGTATGCGTGTATGTATACACTATACGTGTACGTGTAATTGGTGTGGTTGTGCGCCTGGTGACAATCACAATGTACACATACTCTTGATGGCACTATATACAATATCACATACATGGCTTGTGCTACTCGTACACGAGAGAATGAATGCGACGAACTGCTTGAGCATTCTAAACGCAAACAGATATCAAAAATGAATACAATGTAAACGAGATTTTATTGATGCAGTAGAAAGGTACTTAATTTGTTCATTTCAACTCAATTCATTAATTTTATTGCCGTTGATAATCATGTGCGTTCGAATACCCGGTTTCAGCAGTGATCTCGTTTCTCGATTTTCTTCATATTCTCTTTTTGCCCTCTTTCATTTTCGTCGACCATGTTTTCCACGTCCCTCGGATAAAAAGCAATATATTTCATGGCTCTCGTTCTCCCTACTTTTCTTTCTCTCTCTCTCTCTCTCTCTCTCTCTCTCTCTCTCTCTCTCTCTCT